TTAATGAAAAATGATATGCGATTGGACATAACTGGCACAATAAGCATTATAAGTAGTCAAAACAGTAACATACAATTAAAAAAACTGTTCAAACAGCAAATGGATTACAAATTGTTTTGTTAGTGCACACATAACATTTTAATTTTTATTTTTTCTTAAATAGTTACTTAATTAATATGCCATCATTTTCTGAAAAAATAATTGCTTCTAAGATTTTTGACTGATCAATGTGGCACAGACCCATAATATTGTCAAAACAGTTATTTTTATCGCTACGTATCTAAATAATTATAGCATTAGCTTTAGACTAAGATGTTTTTTTATTTTGTCTAAAGATCTAAAGTTTCAGATGTTTAAAATATTTTACAAATAGAGGCAGGCATATATATATATATATATATATATATATATATATATATATATATATATAATATATATATATATATATATATATATATATATATATATATATATATATATATATATATATATATATATATATATATATATATATATATATGTATATGTATATATAAACTATATATATATATATATAGTTTTTAATTTGTTTTATTTTTAATGTTTAGTTTTACAGGGATTCTCAACTATGTAGTAAAGAAAAAAAAATAGATTAGTAAAAAAATTTAATACCTGAGGTAGTATAATTTAAATGTCTCTTTACTTTTAGGGCCTTTACAGCAATGTAAACATTTTTATTACTTAAGTTCTATTATACACACTTTTTGTATATATGAAACTTGAAAACAACCTGAAGAATAAAGACAAACTGAGTGTACAGTTTATTATTTGCTGCTTCTTGTTTTACTAGATATATCAAAAAGATCCTTAAAAACTAAGTGTATTGTGTTTTACTATGTTTAAAATATAACTATGCTGGGTTAGAATTTGTGTTTGCTAAACAAAACAGATAATGCTTCCAAATCTTGCCTTATTTCAGTTAGTTAATCTGTCACTATATCTAGAATCTGATCAGTACTTTGTAGGACGTTTGCTTTTAATGTTTATCAAATAGTTTGTCCGAATATCAATCCCATAATCACTTGCGCTACTTTAAGTAGTTCTATTTTCAGAAAACAAACGGTACGATATTTGCATTTTTGTGGTTGTTTTTTTTAAAAAAAAAAAACTTATTTAGTTTATAAATATAGTTTTGATTACAGGGTTTATGCGAAATATAAAATATTTTTTAAGACAATATAAAACATTTTTTAAAAAAAATATAAAACATTTTTTAAGAAAATATAAATCATTTTTTAAGGAAATATAAACATTTTTCAAGAATTTATAAAACAAGTTTTAAAAAATTTTAAAACATTTTAAAAATATACATGAAACATAAAATAAAAAAAACTTTTAAATAAAATTGCTTTACATTTTCTTTAAGAAAATATTTTCTTTAAGAAAATATAAAACACTGTAGTTGAATCAATAGTGCAATTATGATACTTAAAGTTATTCATAAATTTCTAAAGAATAAAGAGTATCTTTTATATAATTATAACTCATAATACTTAAAGATATAATATAAATAGCAAAGTATCCACTTTAGTAAAATTCTTGTCTTCCTATGCCTTTCAACACCCATCTTCTCATATTATAATACCAACCACAAAAGTCAACGCCAACTGTCGGTATAAGCGAATTTAAAGTAGCCTTAACTTCATTGCTAGTTTTTAGAATCGCCCTTATAGAAGTATAATTAGCTTTAAGACAACTAAAGTATTCCTCAATCGGGTTCAATTGTGGTGAATAAGGTGGCAAAAAGTAAACTGAAACACTGAATTGGCTGAGAAAATTGGTTACATCTCTTCTACGGTGAAATGCACAATTATCCAATACTAGTACAGAATGGGGATTCGTTTGGAAATACGGTCACAAATTGTTGGTTATAAAATCGCAAAAAAGATTGCCATTATAGGCACCATCCACTATCTTAAAGTTTAAAATACCATTAACTGTTATAGGGGCTATAAGACTTACATTCTTTCCACGATTTGCTGGCACTGTAACAAAATATTTTGTATTCTTTATAGAATAGCCATACTGCTTAGAAGTATGTAAATTAAAGCCTGTTTTATCTAGAAACACTAAGTTATTGTTAGGAATCGAATTAATTGTCCTGCAAAAACTTTGTCTTGAATCGATGTTTTGCGGCGAGTTCCTTTCTTTTGCTACTAATGTAAGTCGTTTCTAGTGAACTCTATTGACTTCAAATATTTAGATATTTTTGGTATAGATGCATTAATATTCCTTTCAACGAGAATGTTTCTCAATGATGCTAACGTATGAGATGGATCATGCTCAATTAACAATCGAATTTCAGATTTAAGTGTCTCGTCAAAAGAGCTGCGCCTTCCTTTTTTTATTGATGCGATTTCATCATCAAGTCCTTTACAGATTTTATCAGAAATAGAACGTGTTGCAGAAACTGATATTTCAACTTCTTCCGCAATTTCTTTTAACTTCATTTCTTTAAGAA